CGGTCCGAGCATCTGGTAGTGGTGGCCTTGGCTCAAGACTCGGCAGCACAGCTCCTGCCTGGGCTTGAATTCTGGCCCTTCTAACCTGCAAGCTGGGTGACCTTGAACAAGTTACTTAACCCCTCTGTGCCTCATCTGGAAAATGGAGATAATAATAATAATCACACCCACCCATGAGGTTGTGGTGAGAGTAAATGCTTTGAACCATGCAAACTACTGTCGCAGTGCCTGGCACATAGTCATCACTCGATAACTGTTGGTCGTTATTAGAGTGGGTGCTCAGTAAACATCTGTCAAATGCTAGCCATTAAGTGGCCAAGCCCAGACCTGAACCCATAGCTCCTTTGTTCGAGTCCAGTCCTTGGAAAGTCAAAACTAAAAAAAAAGAATTTAAGGACACACACACACACACACACACACACACACACATCCTTGAAATTTATATGTGCGTGTAAAATTTTTTAAAGACTTTCTGAGGCAGAAGGTGGGACCTCAAGGGACACCTGTTGAGGAACAGCACATTGAGTGGCCTGTGCCCTCCAATTGGAACCATTCTCAGCTGATGAGTAGCTGAGGTAGGGACTGGGCTGGACCCTGGAGTTCTGTGGACTTGGGCAGTGCTGGGCTTGGGGACCCCTGTACCCCATCTCTACCTCCCCCTCCGCAGAGGAAGAGGTCAGTGTTGAGGTGAGTTCCGCCACAGGCGGTCGATACACACTGGGCAGGCTGGGAGGGGCCACACAGCATCTCTCATGCATCTTCCTCTCATGCATCTTCCTCTCTGCACAGAGCAGGCCCCTTCACATCAGGACACAAACGTCCTTGCTGGAAGCTTGGGGCCTTCCTCACTGACAGGAAGTTTCTGGCTTGATAGCTTCAGAAAGAAACTCTACACACACACACACACCCCAACACCACTACCACAACCACGCACCAGCCAACCCACCCACCCTCTGGGCAAATGTCCCTTCCTTGTCCAGGCAGCCACCCAGACCTACTTCCATGTAAAAAAAATCTGTGGTGGGATATGCCTCTCCATAGGGTGCTGGCCAGCTGCCTTCACCTAGATTACCCCCTAACTTTGTTTAAGCCTCCTAGTCAAGTGGTGTGAAAATAAAGACCACCCAGACAGTGGCTGTTCATTCAGAGCTTGCTCTGGCGAGGGAGCCAGCACCCTTCAACAGAGACAGACAGAGACAGGTGGGGGAGTGGAGCAGCTTTCTAGGAGAGAAGGGAGGGCTTCAGGGTTGCCCTGACTGGAGGCTATCGGCCTGGGGAAGCTTTAGGTGGTACCTAGAAGTGAGGCATCTCATGTGACTGGTGAGGGGAACGTATCTGGCTTTCTCTGGTTCATCCTGACATGAGAATGAAGCTGAAAAATAGTGAAGCTGGCTGGCAGTGACTGACCAAGTTTTGACCATTCTGGGCTGATTGCCGCAGATGTTGTGGCTTGAGTTCCTGGGCTAAGAATAAAACGAAACTTTCTTAGCTTAATGAAAGATATGTATCAGACACTATTTCTTTAAACCTCGTAACACCCAATGGTAAAGCTCGATAGGTGTTCTCGCTGAAGTCGGGACTAAGATGAGGGTGCTTGCTATTGGTGCTGTTACTCAACTTCCCTCCAGAGAGCATGACCAAAGCAATAAGACAACAAAAACAACTGAAGATGTTCACACGCACACACACGTTTATGAAGTAAAACGTAAAATTGACATTATTTGAAAGTATTAATTTCCAAAGCCTCTTCAATAAATGGTGCTGGGAAAACTGGAAAACAACACACAAAAAAGTGAAACCAGACTGTTGTCTATCACCGCACACCAAAATTAACTCAAAATGGATCAAAGATGTGAATATAAGACCCGAAACAATAAATTGCATAGAAGAAAACATACGAACTAAACCCATGGATGTTGGATTTAGAGAGGATTTCATGAATTAGGCCTCAAAAACAAGGGAAGTAAAAGTAAAAATAAATCAGTGAGACTACATTAAACTAAAAAGCTCCTGCTCAGCAAAAGAAACCGTCAGCAAGGCAAAGAAACAATCATCCAAATGGGAAAATATATTTGCAAGCAATGCCTCCGATAAGGGCCTAATATCCGAAATATACAAAGAACTCATACAACTCAATAACAACAACAACAAAAAAACAAACGATCCAATCAAAAAATGAGCAGAGGACCTGAACAGACACTTCTCCCTAGAGGACATACAAATGGCCAGCAAACATATGAAAGGATGCTCAATACTGCTAGCTATTAGGGAATGCAAATTAAAACCACAATGAGATACCATCGCATACCTGTTAGAATAGCTGTTATCAATAGGACAAGTAATAATAAGTGTTTGAGAGGATGCAGAGAAAAAGGAACCTTCATACACTGCTAGTGGGACTGCAAATTGGTACAGCCACTATGGAAAACAGTATAGAGGTTCCTCAAAAAACGAAGAATTGATCTACCATATGATCCAGCAATCCCTCTACTGGGTATTTACCCCAAAGTCTTGAAAACTCATATGCAAAAAGATATTCGCACACCAATGTTCATAACAGCATTATTCACGGTGGCCAGGACATGGAAGCAATCAAAGTGTCCTACGATAGATGAATGGATAAATTCTATGTATGTGGTACATATATACAAAGGAATATTACTCAGCCATAAGAAGAGATGAAATACTGCCATTTACGACAACATGGATGGACCTTGAGAGAATCATGCTAAGCGAAATAAGAAAGAAAAAGTTGAAAACCACATGATATCACTTATACGTGGGATATAAAATCAAAAGCAACAAACAAACAGAGATTCAGACAGTGGATTAGTGGTTACCAGAGGGAAGGGGAGGAGGAGGTAGATAGGAGTAAAAAGGGCCAAATATTTGGTGACGGAAGGAAATCTAACTCGGGGTGGCGAACACACAATGCAATATAGATACAACTTACTGTTGAATGATACACTTGAAATTTATTTAATTTTGTTCATCGATGTTGCCCCAATAATTTTTAATTAAAACATAAATAAAAATAAAGTATTATTTTCTATTTTAAAACTCTAGGATATTCATCCAAAAACCTATCTAGAAAAAATCTAATCAAGAAAAACAACTCATTCTGCACATCAGTAAAAATTATAAAATATCTTTAAAATGAGCTTATTTGTTGAAGAAAACTTTATAAAATGTTACTGGAAGTTCAAAGATTAATAGATAAATCAGGTCCCTAATGAGAGCACTCAATATTACGAATGAGTCTGATACTACTAATTAATCCATAAGTCCATTATAATCCCAATCAAAACACTAATGAGATTTTAAGGACGATGGGAGGGGGGTGGCAGGCTTCATAGATTGACACTATTATATTAAAAGAAATGCACGAACATAGCAAAGAATTAAAGTAAATAAAAAGATGAGAACTTGCCCCACCAAATAAAAAATAACAAGATAATTTTAACTTAAAAGATATCATGCTGATACAGAATATGAAAAAATATCAATGCAGCAAAATAGGGAATTCAGTATATGGCAAGAGGGTACTTTCAGATCTGCAGAGAAAAGGTAGACTATTGAATAACGATGTTGGAACAACTGACTATTTGGGGAGGAAACAAAACTTCAGTTAGATCCCTACCTCATATGATTCTCAAATAAAATGTTATATGGATTTAGAGTGAATGTAAAAGAAATACTATATAAGTACTAGAATAAAACATAGGAGATTATTTCAATAATTGTGAAATAGTGACAGCCTCTCTAAGAAGGCATGAAACTCAGAAGACTTAAAGGGAAGGACAAACAGATTTGAGTACATAGAAAAAATTTTCCACCTGGCAAAAGACTCCACAAACAATGTCAAGACAAATAACAGGCTGGAAGAAAATATTTACAACATAACTAACGGAGAAAAGATTGATTAAAAGATTAATTAGGTTCAAGGATCTGTAACCAATTTACAATGAAACAACAAATATCTCCAAAGACAAAGACAATTCAGAGAAAATAAAGTACAAGTGACTGGTAAATAATTGGAAAGATAACTTCAACAGTGATTAAGGAAATGCAGTTAAAAAAAAAAAGGTGTCCCCATCGGTTGAATAAAAAAGAAAAATGTGAGGATTGCCAAGGGCTGGTGAAGTGATGGGAAAACATTCAGTTCCCTCCCTCTTGGTGGGAGTATAAATTGGCACCGCCATTTCGGAGGGCAATTTGGCAGTTTCTCTCAAAGTAATAAATGCTCGTACATACTCTTTGGTGCAGAAATCCACTTATATGGATACAGCTAGCGGAAATGATTGCACCCTATGCAAAGATGTTCATGGCAGCATTGTTTATAATCGGTGAAAAGTTGGAGCCACCTAATGTTTATCATAATTGGAGCAGCTAAATAAAATATGACACGTCCCTGCCTTGAAATTCCATGTAGTCATCAATAAGAATTGGGTCGATCCAGAAGACTGATACAGAATATAGGAAATATACTACAGTAAAAGCAGAGAGTTGACTAACATAGATGGTCCTACATTTGTTATAGTTTAATTTGCATGTAGTTTGAGTGTAACTAAAATACAACATAAACATCTCCAGGGAGTTTCTGAGACTTTCACGTTTTATCTTATGTGCTTCTATTATTTATGAATTTGTTTTTAGTAAGCATGTATTACTTGTATAATTCTTAAATCAGAAACATAACTTACTAAGAATTGAACATCTAAAGTCAATAAAGACAGAATGTTTAGTGTTTCACTTCTTAGACCTGAGTGTTTCAGCCAGAGCAGTTCTGGGCCCTGAATATAATTCTATGAAGACCCTTTATTAAGCTCATCTTACGTATGTGTGCAGGCATGTACACATGCCACATGTACCTACACACACACACACACACACACACACATACACACACACACAGAGTTGTCCAGCTCTGCATATGCACGTGGGATGCATGATTTTACAATACATGGAACAGTCCATAAAACATTCGTGAACATGTTTATTGGTGCCAGGGAGTAAACAGCCAGAGCGGAGAAGGTGGAAAAGGAATGTGGGAGATTGAAAACCCAACACCCACAACCACCTCCACCATCCCAAGCAGGTGACACATCCCACGACATCCATGGTGCTCTTCCGGTTTCTGGCTTTTCCCATTTGTCTTCAAGATAGTCGAACTCAAGGACGTGTGGCCATCAGGATGGATGCTCGTCCACTCAGGTCGTGTTGTGAGCACCCCACCAGTGAAGCAACAGCCCTGCCTGGGCAGTGGGGGACTCACAGGTCCTCATCCCTGAAGAGAGTCAGGTTGTGCTTCTGGATGTGTTCCAGCAGGACCTGTCCTCGCCGCTCCAGGGTCTGGAGAGCCTGCTTCAGCCCCTGTCGCCCGCCTTGGCTTTCCCAGAACACCGGGTCTGTCTGCAGCGACTTGAGCAGCATATTCTGTAGACAACCTGACTGGAGAACCTTCACGACAGACTCAGGAAACCTGGACGAAAGGTCCCCCAAGCGCCAAACAAAAAGGGAAAGCAAAAGTAATCTCAGAGAGTTCTCGTGAAAGGCGAAGCCCGATGGCCAGAGCTTGCACAGCTGGGGCACCCAGGCAATGTCAGCCTGCAAAGTCTCAAGGGCCATGGCCACTGACTAGTCATCGGGGACCCTTCCACCTGCTCAGCTGTGAAAGCAGGCAGGAGATAAAGCCTTCAGAGGGGTCCCGTCCCACAGAGAGTCAGGGCAAATCAGCTCTGCTCTCCCGGGTAAACGCCTGCTGCTCTGCTTGGCGAATGCCAGGAAGAGCCCGAGGAAGGCTGAGCTGCAGGCCAGGAGTGGGCAGGAAAGGTAGGCTCCCAGGCCAGCTCCCCCAGCCAGAGCAAGGGAAGGCCCAGGAAGGCCCTTACTCCAGCGAGGCAGTTAGTGTTCTATGGGGCCAGGTGGCCCTCTGGATATTGAGCAGGGGGGCAGGCATTCTGTCTGGGAGCCAAAGGGCCTGCTGGCTGTATCTCCTCTCAGCTTTCCTAGGGCCCCCACCTCCTCTTGAGGTTCAGACTCAACAGCCTTTGTCTGATGGAGTGTGGACTTCTCAAGAGCCCTGGTTTAAGGTCCCACGGTCTACAGCAGGGCCATCAAGCCTCAGTCCCTGAACCTCCACCCGACCCCTTTGACCCTCACCCATCTATGCCCTCCAGCAGCCGGAAGTTCAGCTTGTCCTCAGGGTGCTGAAGGTTGCCAGCGTTATCGATGTAGACCAGATGAGATGGATCACCGCTCCGGACCTCAGGGAGGACGACGGGCAGAGACAGAGGTGGGTAAGGGTGCAGCCTGGCCAGCATGCAAGGGCTTGTCAGGGTGAAGGGGCTTAGGGGGCCCGAGCTGTCAGTCCCACAGTCCACCCTGCTACTTGCCCAGATGGTCCCCAGGTGCTGAGCAGCCAGCTCACTCTGTGCTGGCGCTGTGCTGAGTTCTTCCAGGTACCACCTCAATGAGCCCTCCCAGCAGCCTTAGAAGGAGGCCACTGGTGCGAACTCCATTTTACAGAAACAGAGGCACAAAGAAGTTAAGTAATTTGCTCCTAAACCCCTTCAGAACTAAAGTCGGGCTGGTTCGAACCTGGACCCATAGTTGCCAAGCCTGCCAAACTGCAAGGCGGAGGGTCTGATTCGTGCTCTGGTGGCCAAAGGGGTGAGGAGCATGGACAGGGATCAGCAGGTGCAGAGGTAAACTGCCCAGCAGGGCTGTGGCTGCAGGACGTAGCCCACACGTGCACGCTCACACACACGCTCACCTCCATGCCACCTGTGCATGTGCACCTGGGTGTCCCCCCGAGCATCACCTAGACTACTCGACACCCTTTATCCTCAGGGAGCACTGACCATGCTTCGTTCCCCACGGGAGGAGTTCAGTGCCTCCTAAACCCCTTCAGAACTAAAGTCGGCAGCAGGAAGTTCTTTAGCATCTTCTAACTACTGCGTGATCGGGAATGAGAGGCCACCTGTTCCAGCCCCCTCCTCCCACTCCCATGCGCAGACCCCATTCTATGCGTTCTCCAAGATTCCATGGTGGTTTCCCCTAATTCTCTCTAGGGACCTAGGCTTAAATTACAAATGTTTGTCTCCAGGACCCCAGCTTCCCCTCTCTCTGCCTCAACCTCGTGGCCCTTCTCCACGCATCGGGAATTTCTCGAAGCCTAGTGACTCCTCCCTCTGAAATCTGCAGTCCTAAAGGGTCTGTGGGATGGCTGCCCTCCAGGGGTAAATGATGGATAGAAAGCCTCATCTTTTCCCAGAGAGGAAGAGAGATGGCTCTGGGGACAGAGGATGGAGAATTCTCACCTCCCAGCAGCTCCACAAGGAACCCTGGCCCCAGGGCTGCTGTGACCTGAAGCTCAGCCTGGGGCACCATGCTGACAACCACCCCCCAAAGCAACTGGCCAAATAAGGCAGCAAGGACACCGGGCTCACTGGGGGAGAAGCTAGAGAAGCCGTGGCCAGGTGGCACCTTGCTCCTTGTGCAGGAGCGGCTACCCTGCCATGCCAGCTCCTCTCTGACGGCCTCAGCACATCGATTCCCGCTCTGGGCTCTGGTTTTAATAGGAGGCAGCACAGCGTTTTTCTGATTGGCACCAGCCTGTGAGCCACCAGGGTCCTGGCAGAGAGCGCTGTCACTGCCACCAACCTGCCATGTGGCCTTAGAAATGCCCTTCCTTGTTCCAGGTCACGAATTCCACATTGACCGGCCCAAGGAGGACATCAGAGAGACACACGCTGAGTCCAGAGGCCCTAGGGGTACTCCAGTGTCCCTCAACTCTCCCCCCACCCTACCCCCACCGCAACCACATTCTCAAAGCTCCACTTTCGTCAGTTTTATACATTATTCAAACAAAGTGTTCTGCTGCTCAAAAGAACAGGATGGGGAACCCCAGGGTCACGTGATCTCTGACGCTCACTAACAGCATCTTCTGAAGGAGACAGGAAGACCCCGGTCTGGGGCGACGAGGGGACGTACCAGGATGTGGACCAGCCGCAGCTCCCCGGGGTTCCCACACTTCTCCCGCAGTCCCTCTTCCACACAGGGCGCCGAGGGCTCCGGCTCGAAGCCACAGCAGTAGCGATCCAGGCGGTCGTGGACCTGTGGGGGCACCCGTCCTCTGAGAGTGTGGCACGCTGCCAGCCTCCTCCGGCCCAGCACCGAGGCCGCTTGGTCCCTGGGCCACATGCTGGGGACAGTGCTTGGTGGCTTTACTACTGTCCTCCGGCTCGTAAGGGGCCTTCTGCTCTGCTCCTCTGGCCAGCTGGCCTGCACACCAGGAGCTGTTTGCTCACGCCTCGGGCCAGCATGGCTGTCCAGCCAGCACCCACCGCTTCATCTACCGCGCTGCTGCTCGGGCTCTCGGGCCTGAGGCCGCTGGGCCTCCGATGCTATCTACTCTTCCACTTGGGAGACCCACACGCGAATCCACTTTTTCTTTAAGCAGCAAGTGCTACATCAGGGATTCCTCCCTTTTTCGGAGGTAAAAGTCCTTTAACGACCATTTAGACAGCTCCCGAGGGGACAGCCCCAAACTGAAGTCGGGGAAGGAGGAAGGGCCTTTCTTTTTGGGGCTCATTTCACACAGGATGCCTGAAGTGTGCTGTGGGGTCCGCCCTGAGCAGCTGTGCCTCGCCTCTGCTCCGTACACAGGTGTAGATGACACTCGCAATGTTTTAGAGTGGATCAGAGGATTCTCATGACAACACTTCCCACTCGCCCGCTTTCGGCAGCTTTCCCCGAAGGAAGGAGTTACAGGCTTCGGGCCGGGTGTTAGGCAGAAACGAGCATCCACCCCGGCCCTGACCTACAGAGCGTGTTACCTGCTGTGCGCTAATTGACAAAGAGGTCGAGAAAGGAGAAACCTAAATGCAGAGGTGGCAGAGTCCTCTGTGCCAGCAAGACAGGAAAGAGAAAGAAGGGGAGAGGAGGTTGGGACGTGCCAGGAAGTAGAGGGGAAATGGCGTGAGAGTTGAGAGTCACTGTCACTTACAGGGTGGGTGAGCTGGAGAAGACGCACCCTTTTCCCTCTTAGGGAGGAAGTTCGGTTTGCTACACCACCTTGATGAGTGCTTACGGCAAAAGATGAGCTCTCAAGAGGTCTAGGTATGGGAGGACTTGCTTTGCAGGGGACAAGAGGAAAAATCCATTTGTTTCTGTGGAAGAGAGAGAGAGGAAGAGAGAAGTCAAGCAGGAAGCAGCAGGAGGCTGAGGGTATGAGAGATGCCCTCTGTGACCCCCCCATCCGCCAGTGAAGTTGCCGCCTTGGGAAATGCATGGTGGTCGTGGGGTGAAAGGGACCCGGCTTTGAGTTCCGGCTTGGTGTGTGGCAAAGCAAGGCGGTATTCATGGCGTGGGGAACAGGAGGGGTCAGCTGCCTGAGCGTTGCCCACATCCTAGGACAGGCTCTGGACTTTCACTGGTCGTGGGACCAAGGGTTTCAGTCATCTCCTCAAATCTGCAGCTGGGGGCGGAGTCAGAGGAAATGGAGGCCCTGGCATCCCTGGGCTCGACCAATCAGCACGCAGATGCGTTCCGTTCCTGAAAGAGCAGGTGTGGAGAAGACGCAGAGTGGAGACCTGGTCTGACTTTGCAGACGGGCTCATCTCCATCAGGAAGCCTGAGATCATGCGTGCGGAGGAACTAGAATCAGCTCCGGGTAACAGACTCTGGTTGGGGCCACTGTCCAGACCAAGCTAGAGGAGACAGGGTCAGGGTGGAGGGGAGTGGAAGTCGGGGGGAGGGAGGCAGCGTGTGGGAACCAGACGGCACCCACAGAAGGGGAAGACCCGCTCCCTCTCTCAGTCCCCAGGACTTGCCTATGACTCCCAGCTCTGGCGGGATCTTGAGACGCCCACTCCGGATGATGATGCACAACAGCCAGGGGCCACCCAGGCAAACACAGCAGTTGCCCAGTAAAGCAATGACACAGTGTCTCCCTCGGAGATGTCAATAATGTTGTACAATAGGAAATATATTTGGTCTCTGTCCAGGTTTCTTTCACGGAGCTCCTAAAACCCTTGGAATTTCCTGAGTGATAAGAGCATCTTTTGTTATTTATAATAAGCCCCTTTGGCTGCACCTGAGTTTTATGCTAATGAGGTGATCCAGGGGAGCCCCCAGATAGCTTCAGGGGCCAGGCCAGTCAGCAGAAAGACAAGCAAGAATAGAGGGTGAGAACTTTTAGCTCCAGGCTCCAACTTCCAGGAAAGGTAGGGGAGCTGGAGATTGGGTTACAAACGCCTGAACCGTGAGAACTGAAAAGCTTCCAGGTCAGTGAACGCATCCACATGCCAAGAGGGCGACATACGGGGACAGAGCTCCTGTGCTGGGGGACAGAGCTCCTGTGCTGGGGGCCCTTCCAGACCACACCCTACGTACCTCTACATCTGTATCCTTCATAATAAGCCAGCGCATGTAAGGAAGGTGGCTTCCTAAGTTCTGTGAGCTGTCCTAGCAAATTACCGAACCTGAGGAGTGGGTCCCGAGGACCCCAATTTATAGCTGCTTGGTCAGAAGGGATGCAGCCGAGGACGTGTGACCGGCATCTGAAATGAGGGCAGTCTTGTGGGACTGAGCCCTTTACCTGTGGGACCTGACACTACAGGTAGAAAGCGTCGGAACTGAATTGAGTTGTTGGACACGCAGCTGGTGTTGGAGAACTGGTTGGCATCAGAAAAAACCATCGCTCAGATGACCGTCACCAGCGTCACTGCCATCTCTAATCCATTCACTCTTCATGGCAGCTTTGCAAGGGAGACGTTATTAGCCTCATTTTACACATGGGGACACTGACCTCAGACGTGTCCAAGGTCATAAATGTAAAAGCAGTACAGCTGAGATTTGAACCGAGGTCTGCCCGACTTGAAGCCTGCCTCCCTGAAGATCAGGGTGAGGCAATTACAGAGGTCGAGTGGGCATGACTATGTCCCAAAAAACTTTATTCATGAGCCCTGAAGTTTATGACTTTTATATAATTTTTAGATGTCACGAAACATTCTTCTTTTGATCTTTTCAATCATTTAAAAATAATTAAACCGTTCTGAGCTCATGGGCTGCATGAAAATAGGTGGAGTGGTGACTGTTGCCTGCACTGTGGAGCCCGAACGGCCTGGGGCTGAATGGTGACCCCGCTATGTCATAGCTACGTGACCTGAGGAAGTCGCTTCATCTCGCTACACCCCCATCTTCTCAACAAAATGGGGCCGTGGTACTTCCCTGGGAAAACATCAAGGACCACAGAGGGCGACGATGTATGTAAGCAGAGGTAGTTGCTATGGAGAGCCTCTGGTTGTGTCTGCCTGGGCGGGACAGGCCCCATGACCTTGAGGAATCTCAGGGGTCCCTCTGTAGCAAACCCCAGCCTCACCCAGTGCTACAGTCCTGAGAAACAGAGGCTGAAATAGTGTCACAACGGTCTGTCCACTGTCTTCTACGTGCCGGCCTAGTTTCTGGAGCGCGGACACATGTGAGACAGACCCCCACCTGCCGAGCTCTCTTTGGCTGGGCAAGTAAACGCCAGGGCAGTTCTAGCAAAACGGAAATCCAGCCACTGCTCTGGATTTCACTTTATGCCTGATGCCCAGCCAGCCAAACCCCCCACCTCCCTCCAAACCCTCCCTGACCCCGTGTCCAGGCCATTCTGTGCACATTTCAACTTGTGCAGCATCTACTTCCAGAGCAAGCTACAAGCGGACAGGGCTGGCTTCTCCGAATCGACACGCATTTGAATATCTAACAGGAAAGGCCGGGTCAGCCCGGTGGGGCCCAGCTGCCGGTTTGATTATTTTGCCACTCCGTGTGGTTATTTTTTTCCACCAAAGAGAAATTAATTTTAAACATCGGACTAGCAGCTAAACAGGACAACGTTCAAATTTCATTCCTGCCACCTTTCATAATTTGATTCTTTTCCTCCTTTTTGAAAAACGGAGGAGATACCAAGAAAAAATAATAATCCTTTGCTGTGTTGATTTTCTGACTGACCGAGCAATGTTGCACGATCCTGGCGTGAACTGAAGTTTTTGTTTAATTTTACTGAAGCCATCGTAAAGCCCTTACTCTGTACCAGGTGCTGATCTGAGTGCTTTATACATCATAACTCTTAGCCCTTCCCAGCGACCAGGGGACAGATACCTCTATGACCGCCATTTCTCTGGGCAATGTGCCAAGGTCCCATAACGTGGAAGCAGTGGCGCCTAGACTCGCACCTGGGCAGTCTGGCTTCGGCTACTAAGTGGGACTATGTGGCCGGCCTGTGTTTTCCAGCATTGGAGATGGCAAGTTTCTTGACAGCAAAGGCGAAGACGCGGTTGGTTCAATCTGATCCCCAGCTCCCAGCACTGGTGTAGCATGGCCAGCCTGGACTCTGTCGACGTTTTCTAAGTGACGGAATGAATGAATGAAGGGCGTGGCTGGCTTATAATAGGAAGGACCTAGGGAGGTCTTCACATGAGGACTCCGATCACTGAGTCAGCTCCGTCATGTCACCTCCCTGCCCAGGATGCCATCTCCCAAGGCTTCAGGGAAAGGCCTGGTTCTGTGGCCTCCAAACCGGACATCCAGGTGGGACAAGACACTGCAGTCTGCCAAGGACGGACACCAGGCACAGCTGTGGGGGGAGGTGAGGTTTGGGGGGAAGCCCGGCACAGGGCACGAGAGGTGACTTGAGTCCTCTGAGCCACCAGGCTCCTGGGCCAACACCGGGTCCTCAGCAAGGGCCTGATCTGGGTCAGCTGGATTCCAGAAGAGCCACCGGCTGTCCCTAGCGGCCCATGCCCCCCACCCCCACAGCCGTACAAGGACCCTCCTCCAACCTGGAGGCACAGGCCTGGGGCCTTCTGGCTGAAGAGGGTGGTGCTTGGCTGGGCTGCCTCACTGCCTGGGGTCAGGTCCCTGTTCTCCAAGGAATTAAAGAATTCATGAGGCTTTGAGGATGTCAGAATATGGGGGTGGGGTGGGTTACTGGGCACTGACAGTCGCCCTCCTCACGCAGCAGTGCTCCCCATGTCCTGACAAAGGACAGGCTTTCTGGAGGCTCTGGGAAAGATCATCTGGACGCTTCATCTGCCCCAAGCCTGAGGCCAGAAGTCGGGGCACCAGTT